TGCTGCATGAGGCGTTGGGGAATTTTCATTGGTACTTTTGATGGGAATTAATTGGGTGAATAATAGGGAAGGGAAACAGGTGGGGCTAAAGCAAGAACTCGGTTAGGAAACCTGAAATTAATTTCAGATTTCCTGATTTTTAATTTGGACTTTGAAAATTCAAATTTTTGAAATTTGAAATTTAGGCTTAGGAGGGAAAAAGGAATTAATGAGGTCTTATTTGAAGCCGTGAATTAAGCTCCTAATTAAGGGGAGGAGTAAGGTATGGGTTGGCCAGCCATAGAGCACAGGAGAGAGGGGGTTTCGGTTTTGATGAGGTGGGGCCCACTTGGTTAATTAGGGATTTGAGTAGAAAGCTGAATAAATTCAGATTTTAACCAAAAGGAAAATTTCCTAATTTATGATTAAGAAATTATGCAGTAATTGAATTTCAAATTCAAATTGAAATTCAATTAAGATGATGCATAAATTCAGGAATTTAATTTGGCAAGTGGGTAACAAGCTCTTGGTGAATTTGAATTTCAAATTCAAAACCCAAGAGGGTCCGGCGGGTAGAGAGGTGGAGGGGGAAGGAGGCGGCTGCAAGGGGAGGAAGCCAGCGGGCTGGGGAAGGGCTGGCCGGTGGCTGTTGGCCGGCGGTTGGGCTGCAGGCCGGCGCCTGGGCAATCCAGGGAGGGGCTGGCGGCAAGAGCAAGGGAGGGGAGAGGTGGGGGAAATTCTTGGAATCCAAAAAGTGAATTCTAATCTTCCACCAATGCTTTCCCTCGAACCTTCGTGACAACGATGAAATCTTGAGAATAAAGAAAAGAAAAATTGAAGAATAAGGAAAACTAGAACTCACAAAGAGATCTAGATTCTCCTACGAACTCACTAAGAGATCGTGGAGGTTGCACTCACAAAGAGAACAGAACTCAAAAATTTTCATTCAACAAAAACTGAAATTACAATGCATGAGGCCTCATATAAATAGGCCAAAATGAAAAATTAAGAAATGACTCAAATGCCCTTCCGGGCTACATAAGCGACTAAATGCCCATAAGGGCAAAAGTGGAAAAACATCAAAATAAATACGCTACTACATAAAATGACAAAATACAAGTCATGCTCGTGGCCGTCGATCTCCGGCGTCGAAAATGCTGACGATGTCCTCATCATTTTAGTGAGACACCAACAAATGTGAGTGAGAAAGTTGAAACATGTCTCGGCTACAAATGATCCAAAGCATTCAAATGAACTAAGGAAAATTGACATGTTTAATCATCAATTTACAAGAAAGGATAAAGAATTTGCAAGTGAAGTTTGTTTGCAAGCAACAAATGAGTTCCATAAACATTGAAAGGAAACATACAATGAGCATAGTAGGTTGCTGACGAATGTATGTGAGAAAATTAGCAATGGTTGTAGTCATTCCGACAGTCAACAATAAATCTATAAATACACACATCAATCTCTTTATATATTATTGAGAATCCACATGCAACGAGTTCAACGAATCATTAGCAAACACAAATGGGAGGCATGTGGTAAACACAACTCAAACCATGGACTATCATGCAAGTAGATGTATCCATCTCCTTCAAGAAGATGAATCAAATATGCAACAAATACAACAACTTTCTTGCAGATATAGATCAAATTGAAAGAGATAACAATATGCTTACAACCAAGTGTATGAGGCTCTCAGCAAAAGTTGAGAAAGTTTCATGTCGATCGAGGTGCAAATACCAACAAACACTCAAAATTCATACACAAGCGAATAAAAAAGATCTGCAACACATACGATCTTTCTACAAAGACAAATGATTAGTGCCACATTGCCACTGATGGGTAGATGCAGAAAGACTTCAGTAAGTGCAGTATCCTGAAGTCACTTTCAATCTATAGAATACATCTACCTGCCTACCTATAGCAGTGGCGGAATACTACATGAGATCAAATACCACAACGAAATACATGAAGAATACGAACAAGTACAAGCTCCTACGACCCAAGGGCCAAGGCAGGAGATAGTTAGTGCACTATGATCCGCCTACAAAAATCAACAAATAGTGCACGACAGTCTACCTGTAACAAACAGCAAACAACTGATCCAGAAGATGCTACTCCACGCCACCGGATCTGCAACATTTGTACAAGCAGACAGAAGGCGTCTACAATTCTTTCAAAATACCCTCGCACATGCACTGTAATTTGTACACACTTAGGTACACTAAAAGAGGGTATACAATCATGAAACCCGCATGGGCCCTGGCGAGCGTGTTATTGGTACACACGTGACGTCTAGGGATGCTGTGCGGGTTGACAAGTGAATTCAGATTCGAAATCCGATCCTTCTATACAGGTCAATAAGAGTCGAAAGGGTTTGAACCATTAAGCAAATATAAGGTTATGGCGACCGGTATATTTGCTTTAAAACATTCATATTATGCCATCAAGGCCTACAACATATGAATTCATTATAAAGGCTCAAAGCCTATAAAACCCGGTCCTTGTCGACAGCCCCGATATATTGACAAGGTTCAATCCATAAAGAGAAATGACCCCTAACACCCCGATGATGGCCGTGTTGAATGCAGATCTCAACCGGAGGGGTGATTCAAATGCTTTCAAACATCTTCCAAGCTCCACCCAAAAAGTCCAAATTCTCAAAAATCCCAAAAACCCAAAAAAATATTTAAAATTTGAAATAAATCCATCAAAAACTTAAAGCAAAAATCCATCCACCCTCCGCAACAGTTTGCCGGGGCGGACAAATTAAAGTTTACTTCAGCTCACAAAGAAGCCAAATGCCTAGTAAAAATATCACTAGATCCATCTCAAACAATCTCTTGCCATAAGGACGTGGTACGTGTCCTCTAACCGGCAGTTTCGCCGCCAAATGGCACTGCAGGTAAACGGTTATGACCCGGGGCCCTCTGAACCGAGTGTTTTCTTCCGCCAAATGGCACCACAGATAGCGGTTATGGCCAGAGCTAATACGCTCCTTAATGGCGTTAAATCCTTGAGATATGAATCAATAGGATATGATCGATAGGGCACAAAGCCCTCTGTTAGCTAAGGTGGATTCAAATTTGTCCCCTTAGACAAACATTCAACCTCGGTCTACAAGGTCCCCTTGGACGAAGCAACCCATGGCTGCCGACAAGGATCCTTCCGTCAGGTTGGGTCGACTACCTCCTCTGACTAAGTAGACCAGGGACCACGATGGCCCGGGACGACGGAACCATGGGATCTTGATCGGGCCCATCATCCATTCCCCCACCATCCGCTTTAAGTGGTAGGTGGTGAAATTTCATATTTTAAATATCAAACTTTTCAATGCTTTCCAAATTCTCAAATATAAACTCAATTTTCAAATCCAATTTCTACCAATATCTAAATCCATTGCTGCTACTATATGCCAGATAACATGTATTCTATATGTATCTGATTGACGACTAGCCTTAATCGAAAGTTCTCTCTCATTATTGGGAGGGGTAATTAACTATAGGGGCTTGCGCCTATAGGAAACCAGAACTCAGATCATAAAGTCCTCACAAATGAGGGCGAAATCTCTGGGTAGTGTCTTATCTACAAACCTATCTGCCTTCCAAAATTTACCCCGGAACTTATTCCGTTAAAACTCCCCTCGCCCAAAGCACAAATTATTAACGCGAGCGGGGAGGCCGGGGCCGAATTTTCGGAGCCCACAGAAACATTCCAACAAGCAATCATTGAACTCCCTCCAGCTCCGTAGAGGTCATCGAATGTCCCTTCACTGGTACCAAGTCAATGCCTTTCCTTCCAAACATAGTCCAACTGTCGTCAGCCTCTCCTCCTCCATGAAGTTGTTGATCGCAAAATACCTCTCCACCTTGTAGATCCACCCGTATGCATCATCTCCCTCAAAGATGGGCATCTTCAACTTCATCACTCTCGGATCTCCTTTGTTTCCCCTGAATCCTCCATAATCTCCCATTCCACGAAGGGGAGGTGCTCCCCAGGTGTCTCGATCCTCCCTTCTACTCTTGTACTCAAATCCTTCTTCAAAATCCCCCCTCGTTTGAAAATCAGCATCCCTTCGCTCATACCCACTACTTATCTCCTCCCTAGAAAGAGGCTTTAGAGGAGGCATCCCATCTTCTCACTCCAAAATCTCCACCTCTTGATTTTCCCCTCCCCTAATTGGATTAGGATTTCCTCCACTTCCTTGGCTGCTAGTGGCTTCCCTCCTCTCAGATGTCATCATTTTAGGATTGGCTTCATGTAACTTCTTAAGCATTTCTTCCACGACAGCGAACTTTCCATCCATCTTTTCATGTACGGATGCAAAATTGTTTTCAAAATCTAAAATCTTCTCCAAAAATTCTGATTTAAATTGGCCTATTTCCCTTCCAACACTTACACATTTCTTCCCGCCATAGTTACCCAAATCTATGCTATGAAACCACTTTGTTAGGTAACAAGTGCAGAAATTGTTGGCTGAAATTGAAATTTCAGTAATATAGAACCGTAGATAGAGAAGAATCTTGTAGCAAAACACTTAAATAGCCTTCGGATTGAAGAAATACAAAAGAAGACAAACAAGATACAATGGATCTTTCATTGGAGAGGAATATCCGGCTCACCCAAATCTCTAGACACCACTAGAGCTCAAGCAAGAACTACGAACCACTAAAATTCAGTAAAAACAGAGATGAAAAACTAACTCTAGCCACCAAAACATACTTAATCATACAATAATTAGGTAAACCCAAAATAGCCTCTTCTATTTGAATTTTTCCTCCTAAACCCTCCACCCCACCCACCCACCCACCAAAAAAAATTCCCCTAATTAAGCTTGTGGACCCCACTAGGATTGGGGCGGCAATGATGGGGGGCGGAACTCACCTGTTCCACCTCCTGTAGACTTGGACCGGTCCTGGTTAGACCGGCTGGACCGATCCAGGGGCTGGTCTATCACATTGTTGAGTCAATAAATAGAAAGAAAGATCATTGAATAATGACATACAAAAGCTTACAGTGTCAATTTCTTCAGTGGTGGTCCACACAAAATTAGATGAAGGGCGATTAACATACAATGGCCTTGGATCAATCTTATCGATTTCTGCAAGGGGAAGAAGGAGCATTATTCAGCAAATTTTTCTTATCATGATAAAAAACTATCACTTGGAATTATATGGAATATAGTGGCCATAACAAATGGTGTTCAGCCAAGTAATTTCATTCTAAACTGAAACCTTCATATAAACAAACCAGTCAAATGAAATCACGCATAGGGTAAACAGAAGATGAGCAACACAACTTCCAAACTTGCATTAGTATATATATAATGTTGCCAACAACAACAACAACATCAAGCCTTTGTCCCACTACATGGGGTCGGCAACATGAATCCTTTTTCTCCATTGTGTCCTGTTAAAAATCGAATTCTCCTTTAAATTTAATAAAGAAAGATCATTTCTAATATTTTCTAACTAAGTCTTTTCTAGGTCTACATCTCCCTTTTTAATATAAGTCAAATCTAATACCTCTATTTTCCTAACCGGGTCATCGGAAGGCCATCGTTTTATGTGACCAAACCATCTAAGGCGACTCTCTCTAATATATAATGCTGCCAATAAATGAAAAAAATTTAAACGTTCTTACCACTTGTAAATGTGGAAATAAATTTCATTAAGAGAGGCAATGTTCATTAAAGTTGATCAAGGTAAGTCATAGCTAAATCAGCACTTAAAAGATGTCTACTGTCAAAAAAGATTCCTCGTTTAATAGGTCTGTTCAAGGTTTAAACATCTTAATAGTCCACTTCAACATTTGTGTCTTCAGCATAAAACTTATGGTAATCTAGGTTCTAATTGCATAAGAGTTAACGGACTAATATATTTAATAAAAACAAAAAAAAATATTATAAACGGATAGATGATGTGCATAAGGCATGCTGTTACTTACCCAGAGTTGGCCCTGTGACATGCTCTGACTGAAGAATTTTGGCCTGTACTGTCTTATTCTGGGAAATAAAAGACAGTTTCACCAGGCATAAGTTTAAAAAGAAAACTGATCCAAATATATATATAATAAGAGCCTAAAACAAAATTAAACCATTGAAATCAATTGATAAAGCATAATAAGGGGACTTCTTGACAAAGTTATATTAATTCTCTATTCCTGCGAAAGTTTGATTCTTCTAAATAAGCATAAACAGCTTTCACTGATTTTTGAATCCTTTCAGAACCATGCATCCAACTGCCTTATTTGCTGCCAAAAAATTTCCATTTCTACCAGGATGACTGGGAAAACTTTTACAGTATACATAGGTAAAGAGTGAAGCACAATCTTAAGGAAAATGAATATTTCACCTTCTCCTATCTTTTTTTTTTTTTTTTTGAAGATGCTGAATTTAGAGATTTAACAAAAAAAAATGAAAATATGAAATATCTCAATTTTTCATACCATCACATCTAAAAAGAAGCATTATGCACACCATAATAAATGTAGAATAAATATTGCCGAAACAGAAACTAATGGAAACAAAAAAACAGAGAACTATGACACTCGAATTCAAATGAATAAACACCTAGGGTAAGTCTCAACAATAACTATATTGCGTCATAACTATAAAGAACCAAAGATTGAGAAAATAAAAACTAAGATTTACACAGTGAGTTACAAATGGGGCTTATTAATAAAGATTATACAAAGAAAATAGGAAGAAAGAGTGTTCCAACCACAGAAAGGGAATATGATTGAAGAAAATCAATGAAAACATATAGATACTTATGTATCCATCCCACCCTGCCACACTACAGACAATCTAAAGTAGAGTCACCGCTATAGTCTCAGAAACAAAAATAGCCGAAAGCAAGCACCCACTAGAAAGCAATAGCTGGAATTATAAAACAATTACCTGAGATGTGCTTCAACCCAAAGAAACTGATGAGCCTTAGCTCACACAAACATGTTTTAATGTTAAATGCATATATTACGCACCAAGACTTCGGAAAGAAGGCAGAAATGCAACATCATGTGGTAAACAAATTGTCTATTCAAAGCAGTAGTACTTCCACAGCAAAGCTTTTTTTTCTATCGCTCAGCTAGCCATCTTGTTTGGTTCTTTTTTTTCCCTTCAGCTTAAGCGTTAAGTGTCTGGCCAAATTCTAGACACGGGACACAGGCATGGTGGAGACCTTTTAACCAGATGTTGATCTCCTTTTAAGCCTCTTCATCTTATGTAAGAGAACTGAAGAACCATTGAGAGCGAAAAGAGGAAAGAAGAGTGTTTCTCCTTTTTTTTTTTTCAAGAAATCTAGACACAGAAAATCAGACTTACGAAATTTGTTGGAGATGGGCATCAAGAATTATAATTCCTACAAAATGCCTGAAGTACCTCAGGATGCATCTATGAGGAGTCGGAAGTTCTAGATTTTGCATGGAGAGGGAGAGAGACATGCAGTGAGAGGAGAGTCAGTGGAGTTGTGTGGTGGGGATTTGCTCAAGTGGGAAGGGTTTGTCACTAGGCACAGCCCAGATGAGAAATATTCAGGGTGAAAAACTTGATTTTAGGTGGACATGATGATGGAAGTTTAATAAAGAAAAGGAGATAAAATTGGCTAAGGTTTACAAGGTTTTTTCTGATAATAAATTGGTAAAGACCTTAAGGAAGATCTTCTTGATTTTTTTCTTCTATTTGACATTACTTGTATTCTTCTTTGAGAGAGGCTAGAATTGTTCTTGTAGATAGATTTTAAAGAGAGGAAATAAGAGAGAGGGTATCGGTTCTTGTGGAAACTAAAAAGTGTCTGGCGTAAAGAGAGAGAGGAGGATCTGAAGCAACCTTATAAGAAGAAGTAGAGGGTTGTTAAGAGAGGAAATCAAGGGGGTTAAGAGAATGCTTTCAAATTATTTCATAACTAACTTAAATAGCATTCATTATGCCTTATTTATAAAATTTGGGTTCACATATTTAAATTCAAACTAAAGCAAAGACATTTAAAATTTTATCATCCAATTTAATACAAAATATATTATCATAAAAAGAAAATTTTCTATCTAATGTAAATAAAATATAAGCCTAATTCAAATATAAAATAAACATAATTTTACAAGCTGTTCTAATCTAGGTTCAATCTGAACTCAGGTCTTGTCATGAACCTGCCTGGACTTAGGCGATTCTTGAAAGAATAACTGAGCACGCCAGGGCCTAGGAAAAGAATTGATCAATCAAATTGAGCTAATGACAAGGCCCCTTAACTCTCCATTCGGAACTATTTTTCACCTTTAAAATCTTTATTCCCTAAATATTTCACATCTGATCAAGTTTACTTTTCTATTTTCTAATTATGTACTTGGAAGAAGTCCTCAATACAGAACTACCAAGGTTTAATCCACAAGTTCAAAAAACAAAAAAATAAAACTCCCAGCTGTTAATGCGCTATAAAAGAGCTAGATCTTATGAATTAACTGCTAGACATATGTCACCCAAGAAAACTAAAACGTGTACTCTTATTAATGACTTGATTGCCCAAAGTCATAATCCACCCACTATATCTATTACTACTAAAATTACACTCCATGTATTATTGTATTTTGCTTTAGATATACTCAAACAAAAACCTTTACGCTCTAAAGTTGACCTCCATAATTCAAGTTTACCTTCAACTCCCTCTCTAGTCTTATCAACAAGAAGAATATCATCAGCAAAAAAAGATATACCATGGTACATCCTCTTGCAAATGTTTAGTAAGAACATCCATGACTAAAGCAAAAAGACATGGGCTTAAGGCTGATCCTTGCTCTAATCCAACTGAAATGAACACAAGTAACAGCTCTTGCATACATATCCTTAATGACTTCAATATAAGCATTATTAACCCCTTTCTTTTCTAGAACTCTTCATAGAACTTATCTTGGAACGTTATCATATGTTTTCTCTAAATCAATAAATATCATAGGTAGATCCTCCTTATTCTCTCTACACTTCTCCATTAAACCTCTCAATAAATGTATAGTTTCCATAGTAGACCTAACTGTCATGAATCCAAATTGATTTTGAGAAACATTAATATCTCGTCGTAACCTATGCTCCATAACTCTTTCCCATAGTTTTAAAGTATGACACATTAACTTAATTCCTCTATAATTCGCGCAATCTTGTGCATCACCTTTATTCTTAAAAATAAAAATCAACAACTCTAGCATCTTTTTAATTTTCAAAATAATATTAAAAAAATTAATAAGCCAAGAAATTTCATGTCCTATGCATTTCCATATCTTTATTGAAATATCATCAGGTCCATAATATTTTCCACGCTTCATTTTCTTTAAAGTCTCTCTAACTTCAATTTTACTAATACGCTGATAAAAAAGAAATTCTCTATTTTTATTTAGGATGCTAAGATCACTAACATCAACCGTATTCTCACAATCTTCAATGAAAAGCTTAACAAAATATCTCATCCACCTTTGTCAAATACCATCTTCTAATAAAAGCACTTTTTTATCTTCAAATTTAATGCATTTCATTTGAACTAAATCCTTATTACTCCTATCTCTTTTTTTGATAACTTATACATATATTTTCACCCTCCTCGGTATCTAATCTATTATATAAATTATTAAAAGCTAAAAATTTTGCCTTGCATATTACTTTCTTAGTCTCCTTATGGGCCTCATCGTTATATTTTCCCCACTTTTCAGATTTTTAATATCTAAACATATTTTTATAATAAAGTTTCTAAGCCTTCTTATTTTTTATCTTTTCTTGCACATTTACAGCACCAGGAAATTTTAGATATTATCTTTGCATTGTTATCATTTTTTTCAAAAAAACTATTTGCAATGCAATATATTTTACATGGACATTAAATTATCTAATCTTTCTAAATTGCATAGTTGATATTTCAGCTAGTACTTTATTTATTTGCAGTGAAAATTTTGCTTGCTAAGCCTATTAGTGACAGCATAATTATGAATTTTTTGGTTGCTGTTGGCATCATGAGGTGTACACACTTAATATTACAATTTTGTAGAGTTCTTAAGTTTGCACTTCTTAGTGAAGCCCATGTTTTGCATTTCCCATTGCACACAGTATTTCAATAAACCGCATTTGTAATGAGTGCTTTATAAACACTAGCAAGTTTCATCATCCCTGGAATTCTTTCTTCATAGGAGAAACTTATGGCAATCAGCCAATCACGCTTGCATTTCTGAAGCACAAAGAGGTACACCAGTAGGTTTATTTTTTCATGCCTGTGAGACCTCTAGTGATCCATCGTGCTAGCTTACTTAAAGCAATATGCATAAAGTGGTGTGAGTGCTAGCTTACTTAAAGCAATATGCATAAAGTGGTGTGAATGCTGATTCAAACACATGTAAAGAGCAATGTGATCCATGGTGTTCACTAAACAGAAGTGCCTATGATGAGGACATCCGACCGTGAAAGTTTATCATAGGAGGAGCCGAAGATCGACGGCCATGATCGCCCAATTTATTTTGAGTTATTATTTGTATTTTGAATTATTTATGCATTTTTTTATGTTTCTACCCTCACTTGAGAGAGTAGTCCTATGTAAGCGCTAGGGGCATTTTTGTCTTTTTTGTTTTCCTTTATTGTATGTTGGCTATTTAAAGCCTCATCCTCATCATTTGAGGTTAATGGATGATTACTAAGAAAAAATTTATGCACTTTGTTCTTAAGAGCTATGGGAGTTCTTAGGAGAGTGGAAGTCCCTAGGTGAGGGCAACGCAATAGCCACAACCGCAAGAAGCATTCGGGCTCGTGGTTTGAAGTCCCTGGGTGAGGGCAAAGTATTACCAATCATCCGCAGGAAGCGTTTGGGCTCATGGTTTATCTTCTTCTCTAATTTCCCTTCTTTTTTCTTCTAGCTGACGCCCCTAACTCCCTCTTTCTCCCTTAACCGAGACCCACCCAGCCCTCTGCACTCATCCCAAACCACCGACCACCTTGTCCCAAACCCCTAACCAACCTCCCTCCCCTCTCCAACCCTAGCCGCCACCCCCCTTTTCATTTACTACCCTGGCCGAGACCTTCCACCCAAGGCCAAGACCGAACATCAACCAACCGCTGGCCCCAATCCCATTCCCAAAGCCGCCGGCCAACACCCCCTCCCTTTGGCTCAAAATTCAGCATTCAAACCCTTTTCTAAAATAGCTCCCTTTAATTTTGGAAACTATCTAAATTCATATTCAGTTGAATTTGAATTTGAATTTTATTTCCTGAGGGAGAAAACCTATATTAGGAAAGTTTCTCAAATCATGTCTATTTGAATTTAAATGGGAGATGATTTAAATATCCTTTCCTGATTTAAATTTCCTAACTAGGCAATCCCTTTTTTAATCATCCAATTAAGTCCCCATTAAGGGGCTGTCCCACACTTCTCTCTCTCCTTTATTTGGAGAAGATTCAAATTTAAATCCCCCTTTCCATTGCCTCCACAATTTCAAATTGGCTATTCATTACCTTCCATATTGGGTGAATCTTAATTTAGAAAAGTTCTTAATTTCATATTCCAATTTATGTGAATTTGAAATTCCTTCCTAAAATAAGATAAGTTATTTAAGGAAGCTCCCTCAAATCAGGCTAGTTTGAATTTTTTTTTTTAAATAGGAGTTAATTCAAAATCATTTCTTAATTAAAATTCCTATGTTGGCAAGTTTTTTAATTCCTCAAATTAATGTCCCCATCTCTAGCTTGCCATATCGTTCTACATCAGCTTACTTAGGAACTCCGCAAAGTGAAACACCTTATGGTTTAAAAAAACGGAAATAAAGTTGAACTTTATTAACACTAACAACTAGCAAGCACTGTAAGAAAATAGGCCTTCTAAAGAGCTTTAACTCAAGCTGTACACTCCGTAGTTTTCAAGGTAATCAAAAATTTTATACCAATTAAATTCATCATTGAACAATAATCCTACTGTAAAAATGTTAAACAAAGCTTTTAACAAATGATATCAAATTCCACCATCAACATTAAACATGGAAAACAAGCTAGACAAGAACAATGTTGTAGTAGTCGTACCTCATTGAGAAATTTTATCTCCGATTCAGACAAGCCTCTCCTATAAATATAACAAAAGTTAAAATCAATTCAAGCACAAGTACTATTAAAGGGAAGCGTACCAAAGTAAATATACTACCACCACACTAAAGGTTAAAAAACAAATAAGGCTCAAGTATAATTGATGGGGCTATTAGATTGCAAATGCTAGTTGTATTTTGTGCACAACATAAACGTATGAGACAACCACTAGTTACTACATTTTAAAAAATGCATCATCAAGAAAAATGTAGTCTACAAGAGAATGGTTAACCTTTCTATCATTCATGACTTACACTCTCGGGAAAATGCTGTTCCAGTTCAGAATATGAGTGATTTCAATGCCGACCAAGGTACATACACAATGGAGATGACCCTTGGATAAAAGTAAAAAAGGAAAACTTAGTGCGAGCTGGCGTTGTGATCCAACAGGGCAATGCAGAGGAACATATCAATGCTTGGCTTTGTATGATACTTGACCAGAGCCCATTAGGCGGGAATGTGTAAGAAAGAACAAAACCAATTCCTATATATAATCGCGGTTGGGATGTGTCACCATGTTCGTGGAAATATGCAAAATGAAATCATATCTTAAGCTATATTTTATATATGCTAGAAAGACACTAACCGATAGCCATAACGAAGTCTCTTGTTGTTGTACTTGGGATTCAGTATGAAAACGTTGTATGCATCCTCTAACTTGAGATGATCAATAAGAGTTGTAAGGATGTATCCCATTCTATCAATGTCCACTTGCCAAACAACATCTTCATCTGCTCTGCAAATAAGGACAAGAAAGAAATTCATAAGAAAAGTATCAAGGACTAAATGTCAGCCTCTCAGAGACACGTAAGATACATCATAAACTTTTATTGAATTTATGATGGGGTCTATGAGGGGAGAGCAGTTATACGAGCAACTAAATTGTGACAAAACCATTTCTCCATAATAAAGGTTAGAAGTTATACAGGATATGAAGCAGAAGAAAAAAATGAATTCAGTTTAGCAAACTGACATTAAATTTGATGAACCTTATAATGATTTAGCCATGTATGCTGAACAAGAATGTCAAGTATGGTACGTGTACATATTAGATGAATAGCAAGTCAAATCCAAATAAATTGTCAGCTAGACCTTTATAATTGTCATAACAACTCAATGAACTGCAAGGAGTACAGTTCTCTTTCATTTCACCAAGGAAGAGATTGATTTTTAGAATAAATGGCTGCGCCAGTTGATAATCTGTAAACATAACAGCAGGAAACCAAACACAGCAGAAGGAAAAACCAACATACAACCTGCCATTTAACAGTTCTTAAATCATATAATTACTATATATGAAAATTTAGATTTCGATAAAATATTACTCACTAAGCGAAAAGTCCAAACAAATACATTAAATTCAAAGGTTTTGGCACCATTATTGGAGTCTGTACCTAAGAGAATTTTCAAAGCACGCTACTTGGCTTCAAACAGCAAAGCTCAAAGCAAATTGATGGGGTCACAAATTCTGAATTTTAGTTTTTCATATATATATATATAAGTTATTTTATGTCTTTTAGATTTCATTATTTTATTATAATTATTATAGTCAATGAAATTAATTATTTTTAGCAATTATTTGTTATAAACATGTTGATACTGCAAGTTTTTTAGTGGATAACAGCTTTTTTTATACATTAATATAAAAATTTTGAGTCCCATAAGATTGGTTATGATGTGAATAAAATTCTTTTCATGGATGTTGGGATATTTAATTTACCTTGATCCTCGATCAGCTATGGGACTTGAAGAATTCCAACTGAGGTTACCTCCACATATAAGGATGAGGCTAGCTTTCTTTGGTAGTAACTTCTTTCCCTCCTTTCTTTCTTTCTTCTTTCACTTCTTTCTTTATACTTAAGTCTAGCTACTAATTTGTAATAAAAGGCCAAATATTTTTTATCTAAATTTATTTCCACGATGTTCCAATTTTCATAAAAGGTTATCAATAATTGTTTTGGTTTCCTAGCTTATGTCCTGCAAATTTTGCTTATCCACATAAATATAATTTCATCTGCTTTTCATGTAGAGAAATGAAGCAAATAATGTAGAAACAAGCAATTTATAAAGTTTAATCCATTTAAGAGTTTTTGGTTGGAGAATATATATTAACATGTTACCTTGAATCTAATATAACCTCTTTTCGTGACAAAGCTGCAACAGCTTGCTCAAAAACAGAAGTAACTTTCTCACCCATTTGTATAGCATGGACAGAAAAGCTGCATTAGTAGTGACAAAGAGATCAGTATAATTAAGTAGACAATAATAGGACTTAAATCACATTACAAAACATAATAACTGTCACCGTGCAAGTTTAGAAAACAAGGTTATTTAGTTATTTCCATAAAAAAGGAAGCTGTAGGACAAGAATAATCACTTGTAATTTACGTGACTAACTAGAGGTAGATGATAACGCTGGGACTTTTCAACACTGGTCTTATAGAATGGAGTTAAAATTTCTCCAATATGAGGAATCCTGGTATGCTCAAAGATGTGATCTATTTTAGTAAACCATCGCGACATTTCTTCTGGACCCAGCAAAAACTCTGCAAAATACTCCAGTTAAATAAATGGAATATAAAACCTTGTAATGTCATTAAAAAAATGGCACTGATACAATATATAACAAAGAATCATTTTAGAGGAGAAAATGCCAAAACAAGAAAAAGTAGGAAAAGTACCATGATTTCCTTTGCCTTCAAATCCGATAAAAATGAAGTTGATAGGGACAGGAAGGTATATGGAATCAACCTCTGACATCTTCAAAAAATTTGCAATGTTCCCTAGATGCAAAGAGGAAATATCTGAGTAAAAATGCAAGAAACAGTGGCCGAACCTCAACAGAAGGCTTTACATTGGTTTCCATACCTTTACACAAACCCTACCACCACCACTGCCAGTAGGCTGTTCTTAAATTCACACAACACGCACACAAACTTATTAACTATTGTACAAACTACAAAGTAACTCTTCTAAGGGAACATTTGGTTGAAGTTTAAAAATCTGTTATGACAAGTGAAAAAACTGGATTCCATTATTATGCTGAATGTATTAAGAGATTCAATATTAATTTTAAACCCTAAGCTCACTTTCAAAATCCCTCAAACATGATAATTTCATTTCACGCACAAATAAGTGAAACTAAATCATCACTTTCAAAGACATTTCTCGATCTCAAAGCAACCCAAAGAACATACAGAGAACAATCATATTAGCAATAGCACTCTCAGAAATTGAAAAGATACACCAGAGAGGAATACAAAAGTTCTCTATTTGTTTACCAATCTAAACAATTAGAGAAAAGTGAATCATTATTGGATCCATCTTTCCTAAAATGAAGTAAGGCCTCTTCATTTCCATCTAGCAATATTTAATATTAAATTAACTCTTTTGTGAAAGAGGGCTGAGCATTGGCATTTAGGTTTCTTGCAAGTTAATTGCCAAGAAAAGGATAGAAATATATACATGAGGCCCATGAATCCATCACATTCAAAAACTTCTGCCTTCTAGTTGTCTTCTTGCAATTACCTGATAGATTTTTGCACTTTGAATTACCACACTCTTTCCTCCCTATAGTTAGTCTATTTCATCTTTTGATTTAAGCAGAGCAGTTATGATAAGTTTGACAAGTTATATATGCACAGCCCACCAGCAATCAAATTTTCCATTTAATTCAATGAAGAGGAGACAACAACATCAACAACATCAAGCCTTTATCCCACTACGTGGGGTCGGCAATGAAAAAATAGAAAAAGAAGCGGTTCAGAAATCAGAAAATAATTACCTGCCTTGGTGTAGTTAACCACCTCCATTTTCCCATGGCCAGAGGGAACTGAACCTTCCAAATCATCAAAATCTGAAAATTCAAAATTCCACATAATTCATCAATCCCCTGCTTCACGAAATAAAAGCTCCCTCATCTCAAAAAGCATTACAAAAGAATAACATAAAGCATCACATTATGAATATAAAAGCTATCATTTTATTTTAACATCTTTTCTCAATGCCCAACTCAGTAGTATATGCTGCTTAATCGAGAATGCCAACAATAAGCATCCTAAACAAAATAAATAAATGAAGATTTACCCGTACGAATCAAGGATTCACTCCAAAATTTACTCTTGGATTTCAGATTGAATAGCGAAAACACGGAGGACTTCCCACTGCCACGGCTTACCCGCGAAGCCGCCCTCGTCTCCGCCACCAAAACCTACGAGATGACAACAAATACTAATAGAATGCACTCAACGGTCATAGCACGATAAGTTATTCCGATAACTTTTACATATAAAAAACGAACGAAGTAATAGAGAGCCTATGCGTGAAAATCAGACCATAACAAACTCAAAAAGTCTAGGGTTTAACTGAGATAATTACTATAATAATTAGCAGAAGGATCCGGCAAAAAGAAAGCATGCATCGCCTTGGGGTAGTTGAAACGAGTTTCTTGGAAGCGGCATCCATGGCGCCTCCAGAAAACCCTCCAAAGAAGCTCCTGCGACTCGATTCGGAAGAGGGGGCAAGGCGAAGCGAATAGTAGTGACCAGCGTGGAGACACTAGATGCAGTTCTGAAGAAAGCATGAAGCCGGCTGGCCCGAACGGCTCGGTCGCGTTGCCTCGATCAAACCGCGCGTTCCACATTGGTCAGTTTGGGGCTTAAGCTTGATTCGGCCGGACGTAGAGCTACTTTTGGCTGTCAATAACATGTCGCCATGTGCTCTTACTCTCTATCGCACGAACGGCCCGACGACTTGACCCGACCCGGACCGGAACCCGGGAATGCTATGTTCGCATATTGCAAGGTATTACTCGGTATTTGCTCGGTATTGCTAGGTATTGCATGGCAATAACGAGAAATATCGCTCCGTGAAAACTAATACCGAGCAAATACCGAGTTGTACCGAGTTTTTCTGGAAAAACTCGGTACAACTCGGTATTGCTCGGTATTTGCTCGGTATTGGTTATTGCCAAGCAAAATCGATCAATACCGAATAATACCGAGCAATACCTAGCAAAATCAAGAAATACTGAGCCATCCTGGGTCCATTTCGGGTCAGATTGTCGGGCGCGTGATAAATAGTGAGAACGCGTTGCGCGATTCTACTGGCGGCCGAACGTAGAGCTACGTCCTGTGACCGAACCAAATAAAAGTTCGCTTGATTCACACAAATCATCAAAATTTTATGATTGCAAATTTAACTATTTATATGATATAGTATTGTATTAATAGAGTTAGCAAAAATCCCTTCAATCTCGGCAAACATGAGGAAATTGTGGCAATGTCTTGTGAGGATCTCACCAATTGAACTCACTATGGCAAGCAAAGGCAAGATCGGTGGAATGTGTAGGAGAAATCATGATATGAGCTTATTGTTAAAGGCATCAATGGGATCATGCAAGAATACTTCATGGGATGTGTGAATTTAGCAACATTATCTGGTTGGAGAACAAACAACGACATGTGAAGAATAACGAATTGATCAATGATATGGAGGGCAACAAAATCTCATTGGCAAATGACGACGGAACATGCAAAGTGAAAGATAACAAAGTCGGTTAGTTTATATGTTATTTTTTAATGTTTTGAGTGTTGTGTGAATGAATAGTTAATTTTATATGTTAAATATGTAAATCGTAATTGTTTAAGTGCTGATTAAGTAAATTCCCCTAAATGAAATTTTGAGTTTCAGCTTGAGCTTAATTTTAAGAGTTTGGGTCGGATCATGAGCATACTGATTAATTATAACAAAGAGAATGATTTTGATTCAAATAACTCTTTTAAAACATATGATAAACATAATAAAAAATATATATTTAAAATAATAAATAATCATCTGATATTAAAAAGTGATTTTTGCATTTTAAATAAATTTAATGATCTCTATTGAGTGTTATAAAATTCACAAAAAAAAAAAAAGAATATGTGAGTTTATTATCTTACGGTCATACAAAGATCTTGCATGCACACACAAATAAGATAAATCAAGAGAAATATATATGAGAGAGAAAATTGTTTATGTGAGAACCAAAAGAAAAACTACATGGCATAGATCAAATGAAATGATTTTACTAGCATATGTCATCAGTTATAAATAATGCTCTTTCTTGTAAATAGGGAATGTGCTTATCCAATATATTAGACATGAACTTTTAATAGTGGATATCATGGTGAAAATTTGTAAAGCCTTTGGGCATTTAAATTGTCTTCAAGTGATAGTTTGTTTTCTATTTGATCTTTCTCCATGATGAAGATAAGACCAAAGGCCAATAATTGCAATATAATTTTTGGTGTCAGCAATGGGAGTTAGTTTTTGTGCTAATGATGTCTATATGCTTTATTGGTGATGGCATGCATCAATATTTTTTGGAGACAACATATGATGAAGATCAGTGTTAGATTGTTAATGTTGGTGTAAACATCAAGCATGAGCCTTGTACATGACGGCGTCTATCAATGGAGTTGGAGAAAATGGGAAATGAATGTAATGACCTGAAATTGAGAAAATAAATTTTAAATGAAATTAAAAATTTTGAACGAGATCGATGCATCATTGTACTAGCAAGTGCATTAGCACTGTGAAAACTGAGGCATTAGATGGCAGCTGTCGATGCTGAGCTATCTGTTTTATAATATTTATGTATAGAATTATATAGATTGGCACACGCTTCATAATAGTTATTGTGCATTTCATACATGTTTGATACATGATGAATGTGATATTTGTATGTGAGTAAGAAAGACTAGCTAAAAACACTATGACAGTAAGAGTTGGCTATTAAAATATAATATCCTTCACAAAAGGATAGACTGATGGGCTTTTGTTAAAAATAGATTCATGGTATAATTCTGATTGTAGTCTATAATTGATTAATTGAATTAAACTGACGGTATAGAGTAATGACTCTTAATGATTTACTAAAAACAACATGTGAACTAATCTAATATTTATAAATAATGATGGTAAAATAAAGATTGATGACCAATCGGTTAACAATTGGAATTAAATTAAAGATTGATGATCAACTCGTGCACAATTGAGGTTAAAGATGTTTAAACAACACATAAAAGATGGAGGTCCTCACTTACCAAATCATATGATATTGATGCATGCATTAATAACATATAGATACATATAAAACACTTGATTTATTTCATGGTGTGTATATATATATACATAAGATATTTTATAGAAAGGATATACTAATACAACATTCATAGGAAAAGCACTATAGATAAACATTACACATATATAATCATGATTCATAAAAAAATAGAATGATAATATAGATAACTAAATACACCATCGACATATGACAGATTTATAGAATACCTATAGGTTTTAGTGACATATAGTTTATGACTCTTTAATTACCTATTAATGATTATTTTATTTTATTGTTTTCATTCATTTACTATTAGATTCATATGCATTTTGTACATATCATACTAATTAGTATGAGTTGGATAGATCTTGGGTAGTATAGATTGCATTGTTTTACATATTTGATTAATTGCATATGTTGAGCTTGTAAGCTTAATTTATTTGGAAATTGATTAGGAAAGATAATTGTATAAGTCGACAAATGGACCCCACTGGTCAAAATGATTAGGATATATATAATGAACAAAGTGTAGTAGCATTTCCAATGAGTTTGATTGTTTGATGTAGCTGATCAGTATACTTACATAGGTAATGAGTAATGCACATAATAAATAGAATAAACATAGCAAACAAAAAATAGATATGTACAAATGTTCCATAAGTTGAAACCCTCACTACTAAAAGGAGCAGTAGAACCACAAGCTACTGAGGATAAAAAAAAATTTTGTTGACACTATGTAGTGTCCAGAAAAAAGAAAGTCCCATTGACTATATTCCTATTTGAAGGAGAAGTTAAAAGGTGGTGAATTGGACAACAACGAGAGAAATTTAAAAGAAAAGTATAAGAAAAATTTTGGTGGTTAAAGTTCGTAGATATATTCATTGACTGGTTCATACCAACTTCTACTCGATAACAAATGTAGGAGGCCTTTATGAAGTTGGAATAGGGTAACAGGACAATGATGCATTATGAAGCAAAATTTATTGTATTGGCCATAACATCGGAACCAGGCTTAATTTTCATGAGAGACAAGCTTATAAATAATTGTTGGTGTTGCCTCGAATTTGGCTTGACCCTTACCAAAAAAAAAAGCTTGATATTAGCTACCAAAAGGAAACATTACGGATGATTTGTTTATTCTTAAACAAAATTTAGTTTGAAGTATGGAAGATTTATTTGCAAAAAAAATCAAAATGATGTAACATGATTAATCATTCAGTTTATACAAAATATATGTTAGAGTTTCCTTGAATTTGGCTCTACCCCTATTTGTTCATATCTTTGATCATTATACGCTTCGCATATATGTCATGGGGTTTATGGGGGCAGTGCCCCTAGAAATAATTTTGGTTGTGAGGATATTTTAGAAATTGTTGCGGCTGTGTGAGGGCGAATATTGACAATTATTGCAAAAATGGGCAAAGTAAGAGGCTTTGGGTGTAAATTATTTAAATGCGCATTTCTTATTATTATTATTATTTAAATGCGCGCGACATCTATACGGTTCTACTCCTGATTGGCCAGGTACACTTCATAGTTGATTAGCATAACAAAAGAAAAGTGTTATAGGTTTTTAAGAGGGCTTTAGGATGAGTTAAAACATTCACAAGTATCGTGACTCGTTCAGGATTCAAGACTTTTTTTTAGTTTGTTGAGAGTGTCAAATTAATATAGAATTATTTAACAGTTCCAATATTTATACATGATATGAGTAGGAAGTGATCAGGAGACGACATAATCAAATGAGATAACAATGAAAAGAAATGTGGATCTTTTAATAACATGAAAGGATATGAGGCATTTGTAGGGATTGTACAAGAGTATGCCCAATGTGGCAGGAGGTATACTGGACAGAGTTTTTGTTGTGAATAATAAGGACATCGGATGGCCAGTTTTCTACATCAGTGACAAGGAATAGGATCAAGATTTAGAGCGAAACAATTCAGATAGAGTTATTTATAGAGGATTGTTGGATCTAGATGATACAATGAAAGGTTTGTGCACAAGACATATAAAAGATGAGCTAGTGAAAGTCAGAGAGAGCACACACATTTTGTTATACTAGCACCATTACGACTTAAAGTTTATAGTATGATTCAGCAAGATGATAGGGATGTACTTGGAGGATCCACCGATAGAGTTCTCAATCCTATGCATTTAATTTGACTGATATTCATTGCATAACATGTATAATTGTATGAAATGCATAAATGTGTGATTGATTGATTAAACTCATTACTAATTGAATGAGATGAATGATAAGTTAGTGATGAATAGCTATTTTGGACTTTTATCAAATAGTGGAATCAAAATGATTTGATTTTTTAATTGAATTGATTCAATTATTTGAATTTTTTTTTTTTATTGAATATGTTTAGTTTTGATATGTTTTTATATCGATAGTGAAAATATCGAGGATGACATTTTTTTATGTCATTAGATTGTAATGACCTAAAATTGTGAAAATATTTTTAAAATGAAAATCTAAAAAATTTGAACTGGAGTGTTGTTATGTTGTGCT